AGATTGAACCCAAAGCTAAGCACTTCTCCCATTGCAAGAAAGATCAATCTAGTAGACCAAACCAAACTGATAATTCAAAGAGACTTGCATAGATAACCAATCATACATAAAAGATTTCAGAGAAGAATCAAATATTGTTCGTAGATAAACTTGATCATAAACCCATAATTCACGGATCTCGACAAACACACCGCAAAAAGAGTTACATCGAATAGATCTCCAAGAAGATCGAGGAGAATTTTGTATTGAGATCCAAAGAGAGAGAGAGAAGAAGCCATCTAGCTAATAACTATGAACCCGAAGGTCTGTGGTAAACTACTCACACATCATCGAAGAGGCTATGGTGTTGATGTAGAAGCCCTTCGTGATCGATTCCCTCTTCGGTGGAGCTCCGGAAAAGGCTCCAAGATGGGATCTCTTGGGTACAGAAGGTTGCGGCGGTGGAAATAGGGTTTCGTGGTGCTCCTGGATATTTTCGGGGTATATGGACATATATAGGAGGAAGAAGTAGATCGGTGGAGCTACGAGGGGCCCACGAGGGTGGGGGCGTGCCCAGGGGGCAGGCGCACCTCCCTGCCTCGTGGCCTCCTCGTTGATTTCTTGATGTCCACTCCAAGTCCCCTGAATCACATTTGTTCCAAAAATAATTCTCCCGAAGGTTTCATTCCGTTTGGATTCCGTTTGATATTCCTTTTCTGTGAAACACTGAAATAGGCAAAAAAACAGCAATTTGCACTGGGCCTTAGGTTAGTAGGGTAGTCCCCAAAATAATATAAAAGTGTATAAATAAGCCCATTAACATCCAAAACAGATAATATAATAGCATGGAACAATCAAAAATTATAGATACATTGGAGACGTATCAGTGACTCTCCTCCCGAAACTTCTAGGGTCTCTTCTGGTCCAGAAAAAAATCACTATAGAACTTCATCATCTTTGGACTTTGTTTGGTATTGATTTTCTGAAAAGTCAAAAACAAGCAAAAAAATAACAAATATCACTGGGCACTAGGTTAATATGTTAGTCCCAAAAAAAATATAAAATTGCATATAAAACATCTAAGATTGATAATATAATAGCATGAAACAATAATTATAGATACATTGGAGATGTATCACCTCTCCCTATCTAGATCGTCGTACGCTGGCTCCCTCGCTCTTGGCATTGTGTGGGCACCCATCTGCTGCCCACCCGTCGTCCGCGCCCGAGCGAGCTGAGATGCAGAATACTCGGAGAAGAGTGGCGCCGCATTTGTGTCGACGATGTATTGCACCTTACGGGCGGGGGTTCCGAGCTGCTTGGCGGCGTACTACGGAGGCTTGTGATGCTCCGGCCATGACGCCGTCTGTACTATGGGCACCCCCGTCTGGCGACGTCCGGCACGACCATCGTGCCCAACGCCACCACTAGGCCCACCGGCTGCCAACCGCTTCTTGAGCTTCTCCTCCTTTGCAGCCTTCGCTCTAATGTGACAAGTTTATTGCATAGTCGAGCTAATCTTCCGGGCAAGTGTGATGCTTGGATCCTCCAGCACCTCCGCCGCCTTCATCTCCAACAGGTTCTCCGACGGTTCCATGCGTCGGCAGCGGAAGGAAGGAAAGGTGGGAGAAAAAAGCAGGAATTGGACAGAGAGCGGCAGGGATGGAAGAAGAGAGCGGGGGATTTTAGCGCGAAAACAGTGCGGATTGCTACAGAAGTGCGGGCTCTGCCTTCCTTTTGGGTGGGCCAAGGGGGTTAGAGAGCGACATTTCGCCTGTCCGGACTCCCACAAAACCCCCCACGTTTGGTTCCAGTTTGCGGGAGAAAACACGTCTGGACCACTCGGCGGACCAATCCATGCCAGTGTTGGATGACTTCCATGATCCGGACAGCGCGGTCCAGACAGATGCGGACGGTTTGAGGGTCGGCGTTGGAGATTCCTTTAGAAAATGTTTGAAGAGTACTCTCAAAAAAGAAAATGTTTGAGACACCGATTGGTCCGGACAAGGATTTATGACACGCAAGTGTGGGGCACCCAGATCCTGGTGCCAGCTTTTTATTTTGGCTTTCAATTTTCAAAGTTCTATATATTTTAAACAAAAGTTAAAATAAAGTTATGTTTTCATATTTGTGTTGCTCGTGACCAACGCTTTCAAATAAGATTCATTTTTAATACATTTTGACGACTTCTAAAAAAATGTGAAGTTTCAATGTTTGAACCTTAGTACGAGCTACCAGTAAACATCAATTATTTTATGTCTTTGATCGATCGAAAAAATTGCTTAAAATTATATCTCTGAAACTTGTTGAAACCGGGCATTTTTAATGCGAAAAGGGTAAGTCTCATCGTTGAAATTTAAAGCTTTTTGAGGGATTTACTTTTTACTGTGCGGGATTCAACAATTTCATGAATCGCGAGGTAAATCGAGCGGAACGGCGGGGCTTGGTGAGTGCCTCAACATTGATCATGTTGCTGGCTGCATCAGTGTAAAGGGGGTTCAGTCAGTGAGTCCCAGTGAGATGGCAGGGTATGGGGTGTGTCCCAGGCAGCCAGATTCGGAGGCCATCAAGGTGCCGGTGATCCACGGCGTGGGGGCACACTGCTTTCGTTGGCTCGCTTGCCCGGTGGGATATGCATATGCGGCTATGGTAATGGTGGTGTACACATCCTCGTCGTGTTCTCCGGCCTTTCGGCACCCTCCATGATGCCTTCTGAGCGACCTGTGATCCTTTCTTACTCGTCTCCACCCGTCGCCCTTGGCTTTCTCGAGGAGATAGCTTCGTCTAGGCAAAGTGTCGAGGATCTCTAGCAAGGTCCAAGGTCGGAGTCGACATGAACTGCAGCCTGAATATGAACGAATCTCTAGATCGACATGGGCAACCTGAATATGAACGCCGCCTTAACTTTGATTTAGTCTGCACTTTCATCCTTTCGCACTCTGATTTGCAACTGTTTACAAATCCCAAAAATGCGCGTTTGGCTTCCTAAACATTGGCGCCGAGAACATGCATGCTTGGCGTACCAATTCGGAAACGTCACGTAACTGAAGAAGAAGAAGAACATAACCTAACACTGTCATAGGTAACACTTGTAAGCGTGTCAATCAGTTGGACTGAAAGAAAGAAAGGAAAAAAAAAACTAGCTTCATCAGGTGTGCAGCTTCTGCCTCACTTCAAAAAACCCTTGATCAGTGCACACACACAATTCACATAACTGAAGAAGAAGAATATACCATAACACAGTCATAGCAACTAGCATGTCTTGTATGAATGCATTACTCCACAGGTTCGTTGTCTGAATCTGGTCAGTAATTCAGACGACAATGGCGACAGCACAAACAGGCAATCGAATCGGTCAAGGCTAGCTGCTCGTGGCGATGGCGCCCCAAAGCAACTTGCGACTTACCCGGTGGGATGGAGGATTCCAGTGCTCACAGGCCACCGGTCCTTCTCCTTCCTCCGATCCCCATTTCTCCTGCTACACTAGAAAAAAGGGCCATTCCTCGGGGCTGAATGCCGCCGATTTGCAGCATGAACCGTGCATTCCCCTGCTTATTCACATTGCATATATTGGAGTTGGTTCAGCAACGAACAAGAATTTACTGGTGCACAAGGATATCTCCAAGGTTAATTCTCAAGGAAAATGCTCAAGATGCACTACCAACTTACCCAAATTTTCTTCACATGCAAAGCTGCTTCAGAAGGGGGAAAAACAACAGCTCGCATTCAGACCTCCTTCGCACGATCTGGCACAGCGCAACTCCCATCACCACCGGATTCTGCGAATAAACTAAAAGCATCCATTATCCGCTCCGTGCTGCCAACAGAATTTAAAGATCATCAACTGCCATGCAAAGTGGCAAAGTAGAAAAGACCAGCACTTTCAAGGAAGCCTGTTTAATCTTTTACCATGCAGCTGATGACTCGCAGAACAGAGCATATGACTTGCAGAAAACACGCGGTCGGAAACATTTATCTGCAATTGGCCATTACTTGGGTTACATTCATTTGTCGAAAACTGGCCAGTCATAAAGCTTAACTTTGTCGAAATACAGTGGTATTCATTTGTCCTTCTATTACATTTGATTGACAGGTGTATGCATATAACCACGGTGATTTTGAGATTTGCTTGACTGAATTCCAGCATCGAAGTATAAGCGATGATAGGTTACTGAGCCATCTACAACAACAGACTAGTAAGCAGACATCGATTTACCTTATAATACATAAATGATAAGGAAATAGCACCAAAATCTGCACCTAAGCATGAACGTGCACATAAAAATATCTATTACTCCCTCCGTCCCATAATATAAGAGCGTTTTTTACACTACACTACTGTCAAAAACACTCTCATATTATGGGACGGAGGGAGTGACATGTCTTCCACGAAAGCTTGTTTGGTGGAAACTGAATGTATTAAGATTATCAACACAACATTTCTAACGCATCTCAGCTGATTAAACAAATCAAAGCCATGGGAAGGAGAACAAATGCAAGAAATGGACTTTAACCAAGGGAAGAAACACTAAAATACAGAGCTACACTCTCCAATTTCCCAGCACATAATTTGTTTCCAGGTAATGCAGTAGCTAGCCTCTATCTGCTGCATATGAGTCCTTGCCCTAAAGCTCTGAGATGTACCTTTCAATGCGCACTTTGACTTTGCAGCAGATTGCCAGCCCTTCCCCCTGCTCTCCCAGGTTCTGCAAAGGAGCAGAGCAACATTGCCAACCCTACCATAACCACCCACAAGTGTAGAATGAAAATACAACGAATCAGAAAGCAATAAATTCAGTATTCACAAACATCAAAACAAGTTTCTTCTCTGTCAGCAAAAAATGAACTTCTCCCAAATGAAGGCCGGCAGGTAAGAAAATAGTTATAAGCTTCAAACACAGAGCTCCAAATTTATCTGGTCTGTCTACAAAATAAACTTTCACCACAGTTACTTGATGTTCCAAACCTAAATGAAGTAGGGTTTCTAAGGATAAGGACTAGAAGAACACGGAATGCAATCATCATCCTACATTTGCCATAATCGACTTTACAGAGTTCAAGATTCTGACATAGTCACGAAACAACACGGACTGGTCACCCTCCAAGCCAACACGGTGGTGCCGGTTGCTGCCAGCAAGGTTGTTACATGGGCTTCCCCCGATCACCAAGTCAAAGCCACCAAGTTGTCTGATAAGTGATGCAATTTTTTCATGTGTGAGAGACTGCACATCACGGAACTCTATCAGTGTGCCTTCCTGGGTCTGATCCCACCAAGTTCTCAAGATGCTCCTACTCGCGTCGCAGATTTCCACAGAAACCACGGTCTTCATCCGTATGCCAAGCTTGTGAAGGGCAACCTCTGCTCCTCCGATACCACTGAACAGGGACAGCACGTTCATACCACATGGAAACCTATCCTTCAGCACTGACAGATGAAAAGCAACAGTATCGACTTGGAATGAATTTCCAAGGCATTTCTCTCTCTTTTTCTTGCTAGTTCCCCTGGTATGGTCCCTTGGATAACCAACCAGAAACTCCATTTCCAGAGAAATGCAGCAACTTTGTTTCTGCCAATCCATACCAAATTCCACTTCCTGCATTCTTCCAGCACATATTTCTGAACAGCTTGAGTTGGTGGATCGCTCGAGTTTGCAAGAGCACGGTGGATCCGTTCAGTCAGCGTTGCGCTTGCCGTACATGTTTGTAGGCAATTGAGCTGCCTTCTTTGGTCCCACGAGGGCCACCACGTCTCGTACTGGGGGAAGGCCTCGAAAATGGTCTTCGGAGGGATGGGACGCAAAACTGACCTTCCCTCAGTTGGGAGGTTATGGTGTAACCCCGTTTCCTTAACGCTGCGCAGAAGTATTTCGAGTCTACGAACTCTGGCTCAATACCATATAGGCATCTTGAAATTTCTGCCCAGGCACCTTTAGTAGCAAGTGCCACATTCTCATAGTAGAAGAAAGGTGCTCTCATACTATGTGCAGGAAGCCATCTGCCCACTGACCGTGGTCGGTCACCAGGTAGGCCAAATCCCACCATTGGCTTTGGCAGAGAAATTGACTCTTCATGACCACCATCCCATGGGGATTGACTTCCATGTGCTCCACCTCCGTATCTTTTCCTCTTCTTGCTATCTTTTGTGGATCTTGCTTTCTTTCTCCCCACGCAGGAACTGAAGCGATTCTCATCCATAACCTGCAAACAAATTCCAGTGTCAATCCATCGAAATTAAGAATGAAGCCATTATTATTCACATGTATAGGAAACTGCAATGTACCTCATGGTCAGCCTGTGATGCATAGATGGAGTCAACCAATACATGCATAGGGGTATCCAGACCTGGCCAAGTTTGAACCAAATATAAAGCATAAGGTACGATCCCATTAAAGTATGATCAACAAAGCCTAATCACCAAGCCAACAACTACAAGAAGAGAGCCATACCACATCTTCTAAGAGCCATGTTTGCTTCATCTTCAGGAAATCCCATGTCCACTAAGGACTTGATCTGCTTGTCCCACTGTGACATTTCTTCTAGGAAACCCTGCACAAAAGCACAGCAAAACAGAGATTAGAAAGCACTTTCTACATCTCACCGCCCATTTTGATGCCAACTAAGTAACTAGTAACTACATACTAGTAGTGAATGTAATTGTACAACATGATGCACAAGACCTGAAGAAAGGAGGGGGGGTTCAAAAGATTAATATTTAAGAGCTCGATTTGATGTCCTGCAATGCCGTTTCAGATGTATAATACAAGAGTTATTCTTGTGTGCATGAACTCAGTCCAGTACTTCATCTGCTTACTTGACACAGCTACCTAGACCAGCCATAAATGTGTTTGCAGCGTCATAAATAAGTGAAAACATATCTAGATAACACATAAATCATGAAAGTGGGTAATGCTTATGTAGCTAGTAATTTTCCATCCCTCTAGACACATTTCAACAGGTAAAATTACTCGATGGAAACAACTCATGGTCTCATACGTTAGATCATACCAGCTAATAAACAGATCAACAATGTTTCACATGTATATATAATTATATATCACAATCCACATAATCAAAGAATTTCCGGTTACCAAGCTGAAGATAAGTAAGTATCTACCTCGTCACCAGAACCATCAGAGTAAGGTTCCCTTTGGCCAGCATCAACAGCATCATCCCAGTCTTCAAAATCAAAAGCATCATCTTCTTCTTCTTCTTCTTCTTCTTCATCTTCAACGCGCTGGGGGATGCGGCGAGAAGTAGAGCAGCTACCCACTGAGTCGTCATTTTCCTGCATTTCACACAACCAATCTTAACATACCGTCCTTCCCGCCATGAAGCAAGAGGTCAACTCAGATATGGGAGCACATCAACAAATACCGTATATGCAAGAAGTAGTGACAGCAATGCACTTTCGTCCCTCTCCCCTGAAAGCAAAACAAAAGGTTAAAAACTGAAGGTGCAAAACATCAACAACACGAATGAAATGATCAAATGGAACTGACTACTACTACTTGTATTACCAATCTCTTTGGCGGCCTTCAGTACCATCTCTTTCGGGAAACCCATTTCTACATACATCCCAATTAACGAGGCAGAAGGAGCTGCCCCATTGGCCATCCCATCAGCGTCCTTTAGATCAGAAACAAACATCAGACTATGATCAAAATCATACCAAAACAATAACCTTATGCGAGCAATGACTAGCTCTTGTGCACTTGTGCTTAATTAAAGACACCCACTTCTATCACTTACCTGCCTCACCAGCGTGGACGGGCCAGGAGCATCAGTGTTTCTCGGGGCTGGATAAGACGAGACCCCAACGTGACCATCATTGTTCTCATCCAATTCGAATTCATCATTATCGCTAACCAAGTCCACTATCTGTAACATGAGTGACACCACAACTCAAACGCACAGAACAACAGCGAAAGCAAACCACCAGCAATGGAGAAGAGAAATAACGCGAGGGCATGCGACATCGCAAGTGAAGCCTTAAACAAGAAATTAGCACAGACACATTCGTTAGTATAAGTTCTAGAACGTGTTTAAATCGAAAGACAAACTGCGACCTTTTTCGATCCAACAGACCATTTACGACGTCCCACAGATGTCAAAATCGCGTGCACAGTTTATCGCATGCAATCGCAACCATAGCATCCACCGTCAAGAGCGGTTTCAAAGTAAAGACTGCTAAGGTGCTAACCATCACTAGACATGGAAACCTCGGCATGTAGCCGCATTTAAGAATGAATTTGCTTCCCTTGTCCAAGATCACATTTTGCAACTCCTAAAAGACATTACAGAAACCAAAGTCTCCAGATTGCAGGGGAAATTGCATTGCCTACAGCAAGATGGCAGCACATCTAACTACATGATGAAAAGGAAACCAACTACATTTCCAGTGTACTCTGTCTCTTCTCGGCTGTGACGACAAAGAATCGTTTCATGCAGAACATCTACAGAATCGAGGGGAGGAGAGGAGGGCTTTACCACCGCCATTGTTCCTGAACTGCCTGGAGAGCGAAATCACCCGGCCAAGTCCTATACAGCTCCCTCCCTGAGTCCCTGCGAACCAGGAAAAGCATTCAATTTTAGGGCGGCCGACGTACGGACGGACGGACGGGCACACGTCCCGCGAAATCCGCGGCCTCCCCGTTCCGCAGCGAAACCCTAGCCCACCAGACGGCCACGAGAGAGAGAGATGGGAGGAAGCCGGGGAGAGAGGCTGCTCACGTGCGATGATGCGACGGCGGCCGGCGTGGCTGGAGACGGCCGCGAGCGTGGACGGGGAGGGGGAGGAGGCGGCGGTGCCTGGACAGGAGGGCGCGGGCTCCGGGTCCGATGGCGCCGCCGGGGGTCTCCGGCGCGGAATGCGGGCGCCGATCGCCTCCTCGCCTCGTCGATGGCCCTCGGAGCGGCGGGGTGGAGCGGGGCGGAGGTGGCGGAGTAGGCGGAGAGGAGGCGGCGCCCCGACCAGGTCACAGCCAGACAAGAGGACTGGGGCGACGACACGAATCCACTCCACTTGTTGTAGCAGCTGGTGTTTCAGCTGGGCCTTCACTGAACTGGCCCATTGCTCGTTAAGGCCACCCCAGTCTTTTTATTTATTTATTTACTGTATTTAATGCAGTAATTTTTTTACTGCATTTAAGGACTCCCTTAGAAAGAATACTGTATTTAAGAAGATCACAAGTTGTCAAGGAACATAGATGAAGCCTCCCCGTATCTTCCCCTACTTAAACTCAGACTTTCCGAATACGTTTAACTTGAACCGGTTATGGATGGTGTTTTTCTTCCTCTTTAGTTAGGGCTATTAAAAAAAAGGATGCGAACAAAGCGAAGGGTAGAAGGAAATGCTATGGATTGCGGATGATAACCTTCAAAAATCCATAGATTATTTTGTGAAAAAGAAAGTGATAATTTCATTTTTATGATATACATTACAAAATTATTTTGTTTTATTCTCATGAATTCTTGCCGGTTCTTTTTTTGTGGAATTTTATGAATTTTAATTTCTTCCGCTAAAACTTCAAATGCCCAAAACCACCCTAGGAACTCCCCTCCAAAAGCATAAAATAAAGTGAAACAATTCATGGGTCTGAGGATTATTGTAGGATTATGATCAAAATAGCATCAGACAATACGAGATCATTTGTGTTCCATACTAAATAGGAAAAAATGGTAAATGCATTTCTCTTTTTTTCACATGATATAAATAGTCCTAGTGCTAGATAGACCGTGGCATTTTATTTTTTATATGTTTACTACATGCATGGTTTTGTATTTGCATATATTTTCCTGGAAAAACTGGGCTCAGGGTCGATGTTTTGGGAAGTTCTGGTTTATTATAAATTGTTGTGATAGGTTAGAGTTTAATTGGGACCCAGCACTGTTAGTTCATTCCAATTGAATATTTTCCTAATAATTATCCCTCCCTCCCTCCCTCTACATTTAACTTTAGGTGAGAATTGACATTCTTGTTACCCTATCCACCAGTTGCTTTGTCATTTTGTTGTTGATATGGTCTTGCTTGTTTCTCTTGTGCACTTTTGGGAAATGTTTGGTCAGTAGCCAAAAATTGGTATGCCAATATGTTGGCAAGCCTACCAACTTATTTTGCAAACATAAAACTTGTTTATTTTTGGCAACTTTTGGAGTTGGCTACCAACCAAGCATACCCTTGGTAGCTACCATTAGAGTCAAATCAAACAAAGAAAGCATAAGGAAATCCTATGAAAAGTCACAAATACTCACTAGTGATCTAAATACTCTTATATTTCTTTACGGAGGAAGTACTGTTCACTAGGCGACGTCTGGTTTGCAGTTCTGTGCGTAAAAACCAGTGTTTTCCCATGATGAAACCCATGGAACTGATGCAGAAAGAAGTTCCCAAGAACTAACAGAAAGAAACAGCAGGCACATGGCTCTTGATATTGCTAAATGAGGGATAAACGGTTACACCACTGTGCAGACTGATTAACGAAGTCATTGGCATTTTATTCTGGCAATAGAGCAGTTTCGATCGAAAGTAGCGACTAGCGACTGTCAAATTACATGATTTCCTCCTGGGTTTCCTCGGCTTCTGCATTCTGATGCTACTCAGTGTAACACTGTACATTGCAATGCGCGTATCTTACATAACGACACATCTAGCTGCTAGCCCTTTCTGCTCCACTCTCTGATCATCGTTGCCTGCAGAGAAAAATTAGAGTCGGTTTAGAATCGGTCGTCATATGCATGAAAAATTCGAAAATGAAAACTGCACTGGCTTCTAGAAATTAAGAACTCCTTGCAGCTGGAACTTCACAGCAGAGAATGGACTTTGTGGTTTGGCAAGCTACTCTTGGCAGGCAAGAATTTTGGTAAGTCAGATTGATTCATTCAAGTAGATCTCAGCCACACTGAATTAGTGAAAAGGACAACTACCTTCATGAGGCTGGTGGAGCCTGCGGTTCTGAGGGGTTGACATCTCCTTTTTAAGGCTGATGAGGATGTCTTCCATTGTATGTTCCCTTTTCCAGTTTCCAAGCATAGGAAATCGTCTTGGATCAACCTAGACAAATAGCTCACAGTAAGTACTAAGGTAAACATCACATCAACAACTTCACCACAGGTTGGGTTTTTTTTTTTGCACAAGTACCATTCCAGTTTCTTGATTCACACATGTCATATTGACCCTAGCCTGGAACCGGACAGTCGGTGGTTTGTCTGGATAATCTGTATCACAGAACAACTTCAATTGATAGATTCGTCCCTCGTGAACAGTCTGTGAGACAAAAATAAATAAGTGCAGTAATCAGCTGGCTCGAGCATAAGGAAGCAAAAAACAATTAATATCTACTCATGGGTATTCTACAACATACATTGGGTGGACCAATAATAGTTCCTGTCCAGGAGCGCATATATATGTCATCGGCATCATCCATCCCATAGCTCACAGTTCCATCACCAATGCCCTTCTCACCTCTCTCAAGTTCTTCCAAAAGTCTGAAGTTTCTGGGAACTGAAGTACAGATAACAGTTAGTACAACAGAAAATGCAATAAATTATTATGAGCAGCTCATTCAAGCAGAGTAAAACATGAATCCAGTAACATCATTTGAAATTCTAATGGTAGAAAATTAAGGAAAAGCATAATTCCCTAATTTATTGGGATACTTATAATAGTACACTTATAATTTTTAAAGATGTTTTCAATGTCATAAAATTGGAGTGTAGTAGCTAAGTTAACAGTTGCAGTATTAACATAAGCTATCCATTTAAATAGCAGAAAAGGGTGATGTTTAAGGGAAACAATGTTGTGTGCCTAGATTATAGACAACATATTGAAACAAAAGAGAAGAGTATAGAGCCACAACTCGCAGCATTAACCCTAGCATTGCACAAGACCTGCTTAATAACTGCAATCAAGCACAAGGAACAATATCTGGAGGTACTAAAGACGCACAACAAGCCAATACTTGTTTCAATATTGGCATATTTGCCTATGGCAGTATTCTTCTCATAAGAGGTTATTCAAGTTGTAAACAGGTTGCAGATGGTCCATGTTGTTTAGAAGACTAGTGTCTTGCCCCATGAATGGAGATTAATGACCGCGTACAAAATCGGCTATAAGTTACAAGTGAATGTTAGTTGTCAAGTCTTTCAATTTTCAAGATTGGCTTGACAGGTGTGACTGTCCTAGCTAAAGCATCTAGTATAAACTGACTTATTGGCCTTTAACTTGTAGCGCCCAAAAGGCAAGGCTCTTAGTAGACAGGGCCTTTCGGTATATCGGTATATCAAATAAAATCCCGAGGAGCCCGATCTGTTAAGCAGCGTCGACTTTAAGTATTTAGTTCTTCAATGGCAGGATATACTCTTAATAGATGGATAGCTCTTCACAAGTTGTGCCTTTGGAAGACAAGTATGGGTTATGGTTTCATCCTGGCAAAATCAGCCGTTCGTCCCATTACTGTGATCACATGCTAGGGTTGGTAATGGTTCAATCATTGAGTGAGGGTAGGCTTGCTATATCGAGGAGGAAGAGAGATAGAAGAGAGGGGCTAGGATCAGATCTCTCTAGTTAATAATTCTCATTGGATAATATATATGGCATCACTTTAATATAGACGAATTTCTTAGTCATTAAGTGACATATCTCAACACTGAAGACCTATCTTATATCCAAGGAAATTGTCCTTATCTTTTATAGGTTTATAACCTTCCTTATCTATAAGTGACCATCCAAGTTACTGTTTTATTCGGCTAGACGGTGGGCCTACGCCTGACACAGCTGGCCACAAGCAGCATATCAAGTATAACAGGTTAGTAGGAATCAACATGAAAAGGGCAATGCCAGTTAGGAAGAAACTGATAATATAGTTGGAACACATTTTTATAAACAATGCTATCCTGTGAAGCAGTGTATGATCACATCAAAATAAGACACTATACTTAGGCTGAGTGCCCTGAGGATGAAATGCCTTCCTTAGATTGGTTGTTGTCAGTGTTTCTAAGTGGAGAGGAAGGACAGATATACCCACCATCCAATATAACTCCTAGGAGTACTCTAGTACTCTTCGCATTTAATTTGCTTCAAAATTCTCAAACCCTTCTTTAGGTTTTGGCTGCTCATGGCATGCCAGTCACAAACAACTAATGCCGTTGGGTTACAGGAATAAACACATCTTCATGATTGTTCTGACACACTAGTTTAACTACACATAGGGATCCAAAATTGCATTATTGTTCCATAAAAACATGCCCTGGGAGTGGGTTGTGAGTCTAAACGGGCAGCACATAAGTATTGATAGGAGTTCTTGATAGAGAAAATGGGGTGTAAGAATACAAGTGCCCAGATCGTAGTAATACCTCGGATACCAGAGAGCTGGCAGAAAAAATCAACCTAGGATTATTAATCATAATGTGAACCTAATCAACAGAAAACGATTCGCACGACAAGATAAACTGTGACCGGCCAACAAATCCAGCTGGTACCCCCTAAATCCATACCGGTCCATCCATCCAAAACTGTGCCAATAATTGAGGACTTCATCAATTCCTGGGTTAGGCATAAAGGACCAAACCACTCACCAAACTTCACACCAACAGACAACACGGTGAATTCGGCCTCACCAACAGCCCTCAACGGTTCCTCTGACCGACATCTAGCCCATCGTCCTGATAGCCCCATCCAAAATTAACCCAACATAGCAGCATTCCATATTCCATCTTTGCCACAACCCATCATGGAAGTATGCTAATAATACCTACGGAACCTGCCTTTGCTCGAGAGTTCCTTGGCTGAATGTCCACACGGATGTCTGAACTGCGAAGGCAGATTTCACAGGGCATCATTCAGGAGGGATTCGGGATCGCCGGCAGATCCCAGCCCCATCAGATCAATCGCCAGACGCCGAGCCTAATCCAGCAATCCCTCCAACGGCCCCCTCCCCGGTCACTCGAATCACCGCCCCCCTAAAAATCCCACCAAGAATCCAAGAACTCGTACTCCACGGCCAGGAAGATCCCGCAGCGGCAGAACGAGTCCTACAGGAGGCGGTTCGTACAAATCGTGGCAAAGAAACGGCGAGAGGGGGGGAGGCTCACTCACCGACGACCGGCGCGGATCCCTCGGAGCCCATGGCGAGCCCCTCTTCCACCTCCAGCTTCGGCCGCCTCTTCCTCTTCCCCCCTGAGCTGCGCTGGATGGATTCCGCGGTGGCTGAGCCGCGAGGACACGAATATCCGGAGCCCCGCGTGAAGCAAAGAAAGCCTTTTTCCGGCTCAGGGGGGGAGAAAAAGGAGGAGAGATGCGCGCACAGTACTGGACTGGGGCCGGAGCGAAGGAAGGAGCCCAAGTTGCCAAGTGATGATAAATAGGGATGACTCGGCTGCCGGGAAGCAATTTCCTTGCCACCGCCTTTTTTTTTCTTTTTTTCTTTGCCTCAAATTTTCCTAAGATGAAGATAATTGGCCATTTAAGTTTAACCTATGGGAAATCGGGCGAAAACTGATGCGGACACGTCCACGATACGTGTCGGTCATGGAACATGATAGCGCACAAGGCATCCTCGGTCTGGCTATTGATAGTGGAATCCACACACCGCCGAGAGGAGAGCAATCGGCGAGGATGACTACAAGTGTCATCTTATCGCCCATCGCCCTCGAAACAGCGACTCTGACTTTTCGCCACGGACCAACGGCCACCGCCATCTTATGACATATTAGTATTTGGTTAATAGCCAGGTGTATTGAAGAGAAACCGGTCATCCTTTTCTCGGCAAAGTTTGGAAAATATATCAATGCGCGACATGCGAAACATAACGACAAGAAGGTGTGACGCCACGATCACGTTAGCGAGACAAACCAGTTTGTTATAAATACTTGTCACTTATGTGGCAAAGTTTTTAACCTTTTTCCATGATTTTTTTCTATTAATTAATTGATTAAGACAAAGAGAACTGTCAATTTAATCTATGGGAAATCGGACAAAAACCGATAAAAACACGTCCACAATACGTGTTTCAGTGTTTGCCATGGAACATGATAGCACACAAGGCATCCTCGGTCTAGCTATTGATAGTGGACTCCACACACCACCATGAAGGGAGCAATCGATGAGGCTAACTACAAGCGTCATCTTATCGCCTATCGCCCTCGATTCAGTGACTGACTTTTCGCCACTGAAAAACGTCCAACACCATCTTATCACGTATTAGTATTTGGTTAATAGCCGGATACATTGAAGAGAGATCAATCATCCTTTCTTGGTAAAGTTTGGCAAATATATCAATGTATGACAGGTAAAACATAACGACAAGAAGGTGTGACGTCACGTTCATGTTAGCGAGACAACTAGTTTGTTATAAGTAGTTGTCACTTATGTGGCAAAGTTTTTAACCTTTTTCCTTGAATTTTTCTCTATTAATTAATTATGACAAAGAGAATTGCCAATTTAATCTATGGAAAATCGGGCGAAACTGATACAGACAAGTCCACAATACATGTTTGTCATGGAACATCATAGCACACAAGGCATCCTCGGTGTAGCTATTGATAGTAAACTCCACACACCGTTGAGAAGGGAGCAATCGATGAGGCTAACTACAAGCATCATCTTATCGCCCATCGCCCTCGAAACAGCGACTCCGACTTTTCGCCACGGACGAACGGCCACCGCCATATTATGACATGTTAGTATTTGGTTAATAGCCAGATACATTGAAGAGAGATCGGTCATCCTTTTTTTTGGCAAAGTTTGGCAAATACATCAATGCATGACAGGTAAAACATAATGACGAGAGGGTGTGACGACACGATCTTGGTAGCGAGACAACCGGTTTGTTATAAACAGTTGTGACTTATGTGGCAAAGTTTTTAACCTTTGTCCATGAATCGGGCATACTTAATTTGTGTTTTTAGGCGAGTTCTAACAATAGTTGCTCGGATCACTTTTGTGTAACATGTTGTTTTGTTATTTTTGTTCCTATTGATTATTAAATCTACAGAATAGGAATTTCAAAGTGGCCTCTCAGAGATTCTTTTGAGAGAAAATGTGTACGAAAGCCCACATCCAGTTATTATGATAAGTGTAATGTTGCCGGCGTGTATATGCTACGTACCTAAGGGTATGCACAATGATGCTATCTTAGCAGTGTCATATAGGATAAATATTCAGGTGGAGAAAAGAGAAACCAGAAAGAAAGAAAAAGGTTTTGTTTTCTCTTAATTAAGAGATGATCTCGTAGTAGCAAATCTCTTGCCACATTCACATTTCTAGGAATATCTAGTTACCAGAGATAAGATGAAGAGACAACCCATTGTACATTTTTTAAGTCATCTCTAGATTATATGGCAGGGTTAAGATTAGATTATCTTATCAATCACTCTACATGCCCTAATTAGCTAGCTGGGTCGAACTCGTCTTATCAGTTTTTGGCTGGCTTTTCTCATTAACTAATAATGTCTTTCTCTCTTGTTGCTTATAAACAACCAATAGTAATGGAAACTAAAGGATAACCTCCGCAAAAGTCACTCATCATCTACCCCTTTTTCACCCTAATCTTGAACCAAGCATTAAACAAACAGGGGCTCGAGAAAAATATGTAGGTATTTCATTTCGTCAAACAATAGCACGTGTGTATGTCGTATCTTCTCCAATTATTTCGTTTTCAAAGGGTTGGTGGCCGGTCATGACTGGTGGACATGCTCGTTGCCGTTCATCAATTCCTGCGAAAATCCTCATGATTTCGGATAATTTTCAATCGGATACGTAACCCCTAAAAAAATATCCTACGGGACCACTGGTACAAGTGATGAGCACAGAGAGAATCAAGAAACATTAAGGGCCAGATCTTTGATGGATGACCTAACATGGACCAATATGTCATTGTAGTCTGCCATAAATTTCTGCTCCTTGGATACCATGTTCTCACGGAAGCTGCCGGTAAAAGAACAGCAGTAAAAGATGCCTTCACTGAATTTTGTACCTCTGGAGAATGGTAGATTTTACATGTGAAATTGCACAAATTACCGGCATTTACACAAATTTGGTTACTACTTTTTCAGGTTTCTACTACTGTTCGCACCAGAAAACCATGATGAGATATCGTCGTCGTCGTCGTCGTCCTCGATCATCTCCATGCTTCTGGGAACACGAGGGGAGGAGCGATTACTTTCTTCTGATGCCTCTCCTGGAAGCCCCTGCTCCCCCCTGGACATCTCTTCCTTCCATTTTTCCCTCTCCAGAGGTTCTTGGGAAGTGGCAGTCCTGCCCCCGACAATGGGGAAACTGTCGAGGAATTTGTAGTCCCTGTGCATTGGGAGCATGCTGTTCTCATTGTCGTCATCGTCGTCTGCCTCCTCCGAGCTCCAGAAATCTGAATCTTCATCAGATAGTGGGGCCCTTTTTTGCACAAGTTGTCGCTTTCGCAATGTCGGCTGGATGCCATCTTGAACGAATGAAATAGCGGGGTGCTTATTCTGCTCCAGATCACGGTGTGGTTCGATAGTGTCTTGGTCGTTTAATGCTTTTGGTCTTTTCCAACCACATTTCAAGCAGAACGCGTTCCTCTTGAAGTTCAGGTAGTTACACCTGCCATCAATCCCTCAACAATATGATTATGCTGATTCTATGGTAGTAGAGTACAGAACAAAATAACAACGCGGAAAGGTTAGCCACTTCGTTGACACCATTTTCCCCATGTTCTGTCTCATATCGACAGTAGACATCAAAACAGTGCAAATATACAATGGTAAGCACTATGCAGTAGAAATAGTCACTCACGAGGCACACTCCCATTCTCCTGGACTGAGTAAACGGTTTGTTGGTTTGTCATGACACTGCAAGCACCGTGTATTCTTCGCAAAATTCAAGAAGTTGCACCTGAAAATGTAGGATCAGTACAGGCGAGAGAGTACCCCCAGTCCATCTTAAATATAAACTAGACTTTTTGGCATCTCACCTTTTGCAAATCCAGTCACCTTTTTTGAGGGGTAGATGATCTTGGTCCTCATGCATCAAGTGATATCTCTCTTGAAATTCGCCATCACAGCGCAAACATTTGATATTCTTTGCAAAGTTAAGGAAGTTGCATCTGGAAATATACACGTGGTATTATTCTTTTTGAAGAAAAATAGATTACATCATGTGGGCAAGTGATATGAGGTAAAAAAAAAAATCCAACATACTTGGGACAATTCCAGTCACCCTGCTTCACAGGTACAGCAGATTGACCTTTTGGTATACGTTGTGCAGCTTTATCAGTTGTGGAACCAGGCCCCTTGGAGTCGAGCTCAACAACCTCATTCAGTAGTTTCTTAATGGATTCTTTAACAGTTTTGTTTAGGCATGCTTTGTTCCCCACATTACCAGTAATGATATCAAGACCATAAGTCAGGAGGATGCGCATAACATCCACAGTTCTGCCCACTTCCTCTTTACGAGCCCTTACATATGCCCTCTCACAACTTCCCCTTAAATTGCATTGGCTGCAAACCTGTCACTCTGTCAGCATAAGGTGATGAGGCAGATATACTATATATACTACATAGATTTATGTCACAGACTTAAAGCAATCCAAATTGTCACATGTAGGCGAAAATACTAACTACAATATGATTGAGGGCTAACCACAGGAGAAGGCATAGTTAGACCATGTACGATGTAAGGTGCCTGGAGAGGTGCTTAGTAAAATAAACCAAGTTTTTCTTAAGCACCAGTGCTTATCTCTATGGCAGGGGTGCCTAATTAAACACCTGCCATCTACAAATAAGCACCAGTGCTTCAGCAAAAACCCGGTCAATTTCTCTAAGCACTTTGCATTGTACATGGTCTTAAAGGCAAGGAAAGTGAACATCGTCTGCAGCATGGCAAGCAAACTGAACATTGTCTTTTGCAGAGGTATACAGAATGAATTGGTTGAAAGCCAAATATCCTAAGTTTTATGTTAAATAGTACTCCCTCCGTAAAAAACGCTCTTATATTATGGAAATGTCCATAACTCCTGACATTTCCTAGTTTGCAGCAAAACATGTTTTAGCTTTTAGGTTGAATTCTAAATTGCTAACACAAAACATGGTTTCTCAAGCTCATACACACTGATTGAGTAAGGCAAGGCTAATAAAGAGGGCAAACTGTTAACTACTTCAGTCCCCAGCTTGTATTTGTAGTTAAGATTTGCATGGCGCTTTTTATAAGCAAGCAGATTAAAATACACACTGTTACATTATTATTATTATCTGAAGTACAAAACATCATGAACTTTGCTGAGCCTAAGAGGTAAGATAGTTGGCGCACACACACAGCTTTCACAAAAGTTCCTGTGTTTAACAATTTGAATGTTCGATTCTCTTGGTTCAGAAAACATTTTCTGGTTCAAATTTTCTCCAAAACATTTGTACAAATGGGTACGTTCTAAACTAAAGTGAAATAGAAAAGGAAGGTAAAAAGAGAGAAATTCCTTTGGACACATTTTCATGTACTTACCTCTCCCTCATCAAGTCCTACATGAGCACGCAATCGCTTCCCAGAATTAATAACTTTCCTGTCAATGCTAGGGCACCCACCACGCAGAGCGACCTGAATATCCCATCTTGACAGATACCTGCAACAGAAGAGTTCCGACTTTATATGCATGGCACAGGGATGTCGTATTGTAATGCACTGCATCCATTTAGGGCCCTGGTAGTTAAATTCAATGTGGCGAGTGCCGAGTGGTGAGGCCAACAATAAGACTGCTGCTACACAAACAGAAATCATGTCCTGAAATTGCATATATTGACTGATGTGTCTTTCTACAGTTGTAGAACATGTTAAGCACCCTGTATATAAGCTCAGATTTTTTTTTAAAAATTCTTCGAAATTACTTGGTAATACTTTGCTCAACTTCATACAACAACCATAGTATTTTGCACTGATTATCCCACTATTAGGTAGCGGTGCTCTGGAGCTTTCTACCAAGGTTGAAGACAGCATATCAGCAGTATTGCATTTGTTAGGCAAGCTGCTGCAAAAGGCAACATTTTCCCTCACCGAGACACGGACGACCACCTTGTCTGCACTGCGGTGCCTAACGCAGGGCAACGCAAACTGCTGGCACATTTCAGCAAACATCTGGCGTGCAGCTAAACAATGGCGCCAGACACTGACAACGGCATCGAGACACACAAGCAGGATCCTTCCAAGCTCAGCCACCTCACCTGACGATCTCCGGACGATCGCGCCCGAAGCGGAGGCAGGCGGTGCGGACGAGGTTGGAGTCCTTGGACGGCGCGGCCCCGGCGAAGGCGGAGGGGTCGAGGTGGCCCTTACGGAGGAGGAGCTCCATCAGCGCCACCCACTCCGGCCACGGGTGGGCGATGTCCACGGCCACCGGCTTGTCCCCCGCGCGAGCGCCGCCGCCTCCTGGCTCTTGGGTCACTTGCCATTGCTCCCGGGGCGGCGGTTGTGCTGGTGCGCGGGAGAGGTCTAGGTCTTCGAGCTCCGAGCGTAGGAAGGCGAGCCGCCGGTCCGGTGGCGGAGGCGGGCGGTGGCTGCAGAACCGCCGGAGTGCAGTGGCCGCGGTGGCGAGGCCGAGGCGGCGGTGCATCACTAGCAAGACTGGTTTCTGTTTGCCCGGCCGAACCCAGTAGCCTAGTGTACATCAGAAGCTGCCAGGCCAGGCCCAATCTTGGACTGTTACATCGTTTTTGGCCCAGCTAGTGCAGTTTTAGTTTTAGCTTTTTTATATAAAAAAATAGCCAGAGCAGATGCTGATATTGGCATTTCTGATTTCAACTTGTAACAGGCTCCATGAACTTCATTTCAGCATGGCAAGATCTTATTGCAAAAGGATGTGTATAAGATAACATTTTACTGATCCAGACACTCGTGTGTTATCCCTGTTAGTGTTTTTATTTTCTTGCGAAAATCACGCGGGTAGTGTCGGCATAGGGCTTGAGTGAGATGTGTCTCCCTAGAAGAATTATGTTGGGTGCAATAGTACCAGGCATGAAATTTCATGTGAATTTCTTCTTTTGACTATCTTCGACATCTTTGGCCACTCAATTATGTTGTAACAGCTTCATATTATAAAGCATAGATTCTTTGGCCACTCATACCATTTTTACGACGACATTGACTTTTATTTTCTTGACCGAAGAAGCACTAATGATACCAAAAGCATAGATTCTACAGCACAAGTGCACACAACTGACGTTTTACAAACAACAGAGAACATACATGGATAAGCTCAAAGCTCATCCGCTACATCTGAGAGACGCAGAATCCTTGCTTCGATCTTCAGCGAAGGTCACTCTGGGAACATCTGGGAGAAGGTTTCTGTAGCTCGGCATTTTTCAGCAACAGAGTCTAGCTGTCTACCATCTAAACCGTCAACGAAACAAAAGATCCAGCGCAACCATCAATCATCCCTAAAATCACTGAAGAAGTGAGCAACTGGGGAACTCCAGGCAGTCGTGCGTCGTTGTCAGAATGATCCGCGGCTCTTCAGCTGGTCCATGAGAAGGTGAGCGACCGACGCATATCCTTGCTCACGCGCTGTTGCGATGCCGAATGAAGTGAAAAACAGGTCAGGTCAACTATGGGTATAATCTGCGTGAACATAGTGCTGAAGTTGCACCTTGGAAGAACCAGAATTACCTTGGAATATGGCGATCCCGGTTGGTGCTATCTTCCTCTTCTTCAAGCAGATGGAGCTGCATAATTTCCGTGACAAATTGAGCGTGTCAGAGAGCATACACATAGCCATACGTACAAAACATACACTCTTTCAACACAGGATATCCACATCTTGGAAGTGCCATTTACCCATTTCAATTTGTGAGTGCTAGAATCAAAGATCAAGCTTGCAAGTTCACTCACCTGTTGCATATCCAGTATTTCTTGGTACCCTTCTCCTCAACGCAGTGAGGGCACATCCACTTCTTGTTCTTCCTCACCTCTTCCATCTCTGCCACCACGTCTCAAATTCAGTAGTCTTACAAATATTATCCACCAAGAATAGTATAGATGCCATTGAACTTACCTTCACCATACCTAACTTTAAGGCAAGCACGGCAGAGGATCCCGTAGGAGGAATGGCAAGAGGAGCACTCCGTCTTCCCTGCCGTCAGAGAACAAAGATCGATCAAATGAACGTGAATTTGCTACACTGAAGAACTAGCTGCTGCTCCATACAAATGAACAAGAAAAAAAAAAAGGATTTGTAGCTTCTCTTGTACTCCCGCCGTTTCTTTCTAGTTTGCATAAAATATTTGGTCAAAGTCAAACTTTGCAATGTTCGACTAACTTTATAGAAAAAAATACCGATATTCATAATATGAAATCAATATTATTAGATGCATCACGAAATTAACTTTCATATACCATATAACTTCGGTTTTGTAGATGTTGATATTTTTGATACAAATTTGGCCAAACATTGTTTAGTTTGACTTTGACCAAATTTTATATGCAAAGTAAAAAGAAACGGAGGGAGTACCTATGCATTGCTGCTCAAAGTCTCCTTCCCCACAGCGCTTGCAGCCCTCCTCGCCGCAGAGTTTCTTCTGCCTATGACCACACGGCGGCAACTATACTGAGTGAACTAATCCCAGAACACAATCAGGATTTATAGGATGCGAAGCTACCTGCAGAAATGGCAGCAGATCCCAAGAACGGGGTCGTACACGGACCCCCTCGCCTTGCTGTCGCACCGCGTCTCCTGCAGCACCCGCAGCCTCTCCTTGTCGATGTACATAGGAGACTTCTCCTCCTGCTCCTCTTCCTCGGCGTCCGCTCCTGCGGGACGACAAGAGAAACTCAGTTCCGGTGCCAGCCCGCAGAGCAGGGCCACGGAAAAGCAGGGCGTGCGGATGCGGAGGCAGGAGAAGGGGCCAACCTCTGTAGGGCAGCGCCTTGTGCTGCACGGAGTCCCCGTTGAGCCGGGCGGAGCGGCGAGAGCCGGAGCCGGGCGGCGTCGCGGCGGCAATCAGGCGGCCCGAGCGGCGGAGCGGGGTGAGGACCCGCGGCGGCTTCGGGGTCTTCCTCGGGGTGACGCTCCCGGCGCGGGGGGAGGGGGCGGAGGAGATGGCGCTCAGCTCCCCGGCGCAGCGGCGCAGGCCGAGCATCTCCATCCGGGCCTGCACGGGTCACCGGATCCCAAACACCGGTGGCGGTCAGGGCCGCGAGAAATGGTGAATCTGGAGGAAATTTCGAGATTGAGGGGGAATCGATGGATGGATGCTTGCGCGTACCATGTTCTCGGAGATGCGGGCCTCGCGGATGCTCTCATAGTCGGACTTGTCGCCCAGCCTTCCCATGGCGGCGGCAGCGGAGGAGGCGACGGCGACGGCGACGGCGGCGGCGGGTTTCGGGGATTGGCTGCGGCGCTGCTGGGCGTGGTAGGTTTGGGACAGGGGGCG